ATTTATGGTCCATAGCTCTCACCCTGCCAGATCCCACGGTTGTCCATACTGCCCTTTTCCTGTAGGATCTTTGTAGTAGTGGGGGCTGGTAGCACAGCAGCTCAATAGATGGCTGGATTGGGCATCTAATTTCTGCTTGGAGAGCACAGATTAGAGATTCTAGATAGGTAATCTGTCCATGTAGATTGGTATGAGAACTCCAAGGTCCTTGACAGTGAGGGTCATCAACAATGTCATATCCGCCTAGCTTGTATTTGGCATATGGATTATTTTTTACCGGTGTGTAGGACAGAGCATTTTTTGCTAGAGATTTGGAGTTGCCAATTGTTAGACCATTCAGACACATAATCCAGCTCTTTTTGAAGGACGGTAGCATTGGCTGTGGTGTTGAATAGTTTGACATCATCAGCAAAGAGGACCCAGTTGCTAATAAGGTGATCACAAAGATCATTTATGTAGAGTGTAAAGAGAGTGGGTCCTAGAACGCTCCCTTGGAGAACACTGCTGATAACTGGTGCAGGGTTTGATAGGGCATTTACTATTTTTACTATTTGTTGCCTGTTTAACAGGAAGGCAGTAATCCACTTGTGAAGGGCTCCAGAAATGCCATAAGAATTTAATTTTAATAGTAGTTTGTCATGTACCACTGAGTCAAAGGCTTTGCAGAAGTCTACGAAAATTGCATCTATAGCTAAATATGAGCCAGCAGTGTGCAGCAGCAGCCAAAAAAGCTAATGCAACCATAAATTGCATTAACATTAACATGCATAAGTGCACCAATGTGCCTACCATCCCTGTACTATTGTTTCTTTTACATATTTTTTTTATCTTGTAAGCAATTGACAAATAAATAAATAAATAAATAAATAAATAAATAAATAACAGAGGGATACAATCAAGATCAAATGAAGTACTAATATCACTCTTTAAAGCCTTAGTGAGACCACACCTAGAGTACAGCATCCAGTTTTGGTCACCACATTATAAAAAAGATGTTGAGACTCTAGAAAAAGTACAGAGAAGAGCAACCAGGATGATGAGGGGACTGGAGACTAAAACATATGAAGAATTATTAATTAGTTTTCATCCATTGTTTCTTGTCCTGCTTTATTATGCTTTGGAGAATAGGTGAACCCTGTGTTCTTTGTTGGAACCCCTCAAATATCGTGTCACCCCTAGTCCTTCTTTTCAGTAAATTAGACATATCCAGTTCCAGCAATCATTCTTCAGATGTTTTAGCCTCCAACCCCCTGATCATTCTTGTTGCTCTTCTTTCCAGAGTCTCAACATCTTTTTTTTTTTAATTGTGGCAAATATAAAAACTGGATGCGATATTCTAAGGAAGGTCTTATTAATGCTTTATAAATCCTTAATAATACCTCACATGATTTTGATTCTATCCCTCTGTTAATGCAGTCTAAGATTGTGTTGGTTTTTTTTCCGCATGTCTGGCTCAGGTTTAGGTAACTGTCTACTAGGACTCCAAGATCCCTCTCACAGTTACTTCAACTGAGCCTGATTTCACCTAATCTGTACCTGTACATTTGATTTTTCTTGCCTGATTCTAAAACCTTACTTTTTTTCACCATTGACTTTCATTTTGTTAGGAAGGTCCCAGAGTTCAAGGCTTTTCAAATTCATCTGGATCTTGAGCCTATCTTCGGGAGTGCTGGCTATTCCTGCCAGCTTAGTGTCGTCTGCAAATTTGATAAGTTCCCCTTCTATTCCTTTGTCCATGTCCAGAGATTGTATTTGGCAAGTTCAGAGTGGTTCGGTGAAACGGTTACAGAAATTTTGAGTACTTGGAGAATCAGCAAATACCACTCTCCCTGAGCCCACCCCTGCCTGCCCAGTCACCACTTGCCCACCCCACCCCACCTCCTCGCCCCACCCCACACAGTCACTCCTTACCTTCCCGGAATAGCACACTGTGTGGCTCCTCGCGTTAACCAAACAGTCTTTGCTCTGTGTTTGCCTGCCTTCCGACTCGGTGCCTGTGGCCCAGCTGAGTGCCCCTAATCTGCCTGCCTGGCTAATTCAGCCTGCAAGTCACACTAACCCCTCCGTCTCTGTCCTTTAAGTTTAACCTGCCTGGCTTACTTTGCCACAGCAGCTGCATCCCACGCAGCACAGCAAATCTGCATGGCCCCACTGGGTGGGAGAATGCCCTCCCCATGGCTGTGCTGGCTAGGAGAACAAATTCCCTAAGGATTTCTTTGCCTACCTGATTTCCAGCTCCTTTGCATTTCTCACCATCCTGTGCAAAGAAATGTAAGTTTGTTGGGGGGGGGGGGGGGAAAAAAAAATCCACCCAATCAATTCCAACTTCTCGCAAAAGAAAAAGATCTCGGAAAGTTTAATTTGATTTGAAGAGTTTCTCTATTACATAGGTTAATAGATCTTAAAAGAGTAACTTCAATCCTTGACTTAAGGCAAAGTTTGCACACCTTAGGCAGCAATCTTTGAAAGATACTGTTGTTCTCAAAATGAGGATGAGACACAAAGAATTGTATGATCTGTGCACCAACTAAAATTCCATTATATCCCCCACCTCACTGATTCTCCCCTTGCCCTCTCCCTATGCATATTTTGATGGTTTGGGTTGACTGATTGAGCTAATAACCCTTTTGCTAAAAACACTTGGTATACCTCCAAGTACAAGGAACGAAAATCAGGACATCACAACAAAGAGGTTTTGTTTAAAGGAAAGCAAACTGAGATGTTGCGTTATAGACATATGCTGCAGATCCCAAGGAAGGATATGAGCTAATAGCAATAACAATAGCACATAGACTTATATTCCGCTTTATAGTGCTTTACAGCCCTCTCTAAGTGGTTTACAGAGTCAGCCTCTGGCCCCC